GGAAAAGTGGGTGAAGGGAGACAGTGGTCGGTGTAAGACATGAAAAAAATAATTTATAAACTATCAAGGCTTCATGAGGGGGGTGGGGATGAGCTGATACCAAGGGCTCAAGTAAAAAGAAGTTTTGAATGGAGTGGTGGCAACATGTACAAATATGCTTGACACAATGGATGTATTTGTGGATTGTGGTACTTGCTGTAAGAGCCCCCAATAAAATGATTAAAAAAACAAACGTCTTTTTCTCTTTCAGTAAGCTAACTGTGTCATGCATATTTCAGGTTGCTAATAAGCCTCCTTTACTCCTAATGCTAAAAGCCCTTATGGTGTGTAGTGGGTTACACCTCAAGGTTAGTAGTCCAAAACCACCAGTTATTCCGAGGAAGAAAGATGATTCTTTGTACTCCCATAAAGAGTTATAGTCTTGGGAACTCACAAAGGCAGTTCTATTCTGTTCTATAGGGTTGCTGTAAGTCATACTCAACTTGATGGCACGGGGTTTGTGAGTTTACCTCAAATGCTGCTTCTCCAGCATTTGGATTGTTTGCCGAGTTTACAATTTGAATAAGTAAATAGGGTGAAAGGATATGATCCTGGTGCACACCTCTCCTGATTTCAAACCACTCGCTATCCCCTTATTATGTCTATGTACAGGTTCCTTATGAAGCGTTCTGGAATTCCTATTCTTTACAATGTTATCCATAATGTGGATGCTCCACACAGTCGATGCCTTTGCATAATCAGTAAAACAGGTAAACATCCTTCTGGTATTTTCTGCTTTCTGTCAAGATCCATCTGATATCAGCAACGATCGCCCTCGTTCTATATCCTCTTGATTTCAGTTGAACTTTTGTCAGTTCTCTGTCTATATACTGCTCTGACCATCTTTGAGTTATTTTTGGCAGAATTTTACTTGCATGTGATACTAATTTCTGTATTGTTCAGAATGGGCACAAACATAGATCTCTTCCAGTTGGTTAGATGGGTCTCTTGGCCTAGATGAGTGGCGTCGCCAGTGTTGCATCCATTTATTTAAACTATCTCAATTTGTATTCCACAACTTCTCTGAGCCTTGCTTTTTGCCAGTATCTTCACTACAGGTTGGACTTCGGTTTTCATTACAGTTGCTACCTCCTAAAATAGTTGAATGCTGGCCACTTATTTTTGGTACAGTGACTTTGTGTATTCCTTCCATCTTCTGATTCTTCATGCATCAGTTGCCTTTGGAAGTCTTGAATATCGTGACTTGACTTTTGTTCTTTCAATTCTTTGAGCTTGAGAAATGCAGCGTTTAGTCGTCTCTTTTGTTTTTCTGATTTCAGATCTTTGCACTTTCATTATAGTATGTTGTCTTCTTGAGTCCTCCAACTTTATTTCATCATCGTCTCCGTTCTCTTTAGCTGCTCTACGTTTAAGAACAAGCTTCAGTCTTCTGATACCCATTTCGACCATTTTTTCCCTGTCTTTTTAAAGACCTTTTCCTTTTTCCTGTATGGGTGTTATTGATACTTATCTGGCTTTTGGTCTTTAGAGTTTACTGAATGAAATCTATTTTTGAGATGGTCTCTGAAGCCAGATAGGATACACTCAAAGACAAAATTTTGGCTCTTGACTTCTTTTGATTGTCTTTAGGTTCAACTTGAACTTGCATAGGAGCAAGTGGAACCTAAAGACAATCAAAAGAAGTCCACGCGAGCCAAAAATGATCAGTTCCTCAGTTAAGCCTAGGCATTTTTTTTTCTGACTGAAGATATTAAGCTTCTTCATCACCTCTTCCACAGATGTAGTTGACTTGACATCTTTTATGTAGTTGAAAAAAAGATCTTTTCATTGACTAGATCATTGATCTTGCAACATATGTCATGTGATCTATATGGTGTTCAGTCACCAAATCCCTGTTTTCCAACTAATGATCCTTCTGTTTCCAACTTTCGTGTTCCAGTTATCAGTAATTGTCAATACATCCTAATTGCATGTATAAACAATTTTGCAATCAGAGTTGGTGAAAGTCTTAAGTGGTTTCATCTTTGGCATTAGTGATTGGTACGGGAATTTGAAAATAGCAGTCACATTAAATGAATAGTTGTCACATTACAATGTGTAGCTCAGGATAGATCTTGAAGTGTTCACTTTGATTGTGAATGCGATGTGATTCCTTTTCAGCATATTCTTCCTGGCCTGGTAGACTATATGACTGTCTGGATCAGAATAGCCAATATCAAGCCATTTCAGCTCACTTACATCCATGATGTCTGTTGAGAAGGGTTCCGTGCCATTTTGACGCAACGTCCAGTTTTCCTAGAGTCTTATACTTCATATATTCTGTGTTCTGATTATTAATGGATATTTGCAGCTATTTTTTTTTTCTCATTTTAGGGAGAAGGGCCAGAAATCTACTTCTAAATAATTGGCCAGTGAAAACTTTATGAATAGCAGCAGACCATTGTGTGATAAAATGCCAGAAGATAAGCCTGTCAGGTTGAAAGGTATTCAAAATACGGCAGGGAATAGCTACCTCCTCAAAGTAGAGTCTGCCTTAATGACATGGGCACAGTTAACGTTTTTGGTGCATTCTTTTGCTGACGGGGCACCACCACTCAAAGTGAGAAGAAACATCTGCAAATATCCAATTAATAAATGTGAGAAATTAAGAATACAAGAAATAAAACTAGATTTAGAATGTGTGGATTTTTACCTGCAGGGTGATCGAGCATAAAATGTGTAGCCGAAATGTTTTTAAATACTCAATTAACTTTTAAAAATAAATGAGACTAAAATGTAGTGTATGTTGTTTTGTTTTGTAGAGAGTGCTCATAACCTTTGAATTCCTTAATATTTTTCTCAGGTTTAGCTGACAGATTTGAAGAATACCCTAAACTAAGGGAGCTCATTCGGCTGAAAGATGAGTTAATAGCTAAATCTAACACTCCTCCTATGTAAGTGTTTTTATTGATTTATTTTTGTTCCTGATGTTGGTTTAAAACATCAATCTTCTTATAACATTCTTTTTAAAAAACATGCCAGTGCCTATAGAAGATAAGAATTTTCTGCTTCTTTGTAATACAATATGTTAATCCAAAACTATAGTTTTGAATACACAGTAAAAACTCTTTCAATATTTAGAGTTTTATGGATAGTTTTTAGTATCTTTAAATAATGCTTTCTTCTTAAAAAGTTCCCCATGTCTGTTCTATTCCTGATAATTTAAAAAAAAAGTCTTAGATGTGATTTTCTTTTCAATAAGTAATTTGTTTAATGTGGAAAGTTTATACAGTTTATGTGAATAAGAAAACAAAAGAAAAATAAATTTTATCTCAGTGTGAGTGACAAATATTCTTAATATTTTAGAATATGATAATATGAGCCTTTCTCTAAGAGCTTATAATTTATATTGGGCATCTTGATAAGATAAGTGATAGAAACAGTTTTACTAATGAACAACCTAATAACAAACTGAATACCATATTTACTCAAAACTCGCTGGTGCCACGCTGATTTCCGCTGAGACAGTGATCGGATTGGCCCGAGCATGAGCGCTCCAGAGGATTTTTGGCGGCGCTGTAAATCTCTGCAGGAGCACACTGCCTCATCTCTCTGCTGTGGAGCAGGTGATGGGCTCACACTGTTGACTGCTCTAGCAAGCTCCCTTTCCATATTTGGAAATTGTTTTTTATGGGGAGGATTTTAAATCTTAGAGTGTAAAAGTTAGAGGTTTATATTTTGAATGTTGTGTGGAATATGATTTTACGTTGCAGTGTAATTCCTAGAAATGGCTTACTATCTATTCTGTACAAAAGAAAGACAATTTTCCATTAAAATAGGCATTTAGTAGTTACCTCTTTACTACTTTGTAAATGGGGTTGATTAAAATTAAGTAGTTTATTTCATTACTGTCTAGAAGGGATTTGAATGTCTCTGATTTGTTTTTAATATGTGAATCAAATAGGTACTTACAAGCAGATGTAGAAGCTTTTGACATCAGAGAACTAACGCCCAAATTTGATGTGATTCTCCTGGAACCCCCTTTAGAAGAATATTACAGAGAAACAGGAAGCACTGCTAATGAAAAATGCTGGACGTGGGATGATGTATGATTAAACTTTCTATATTATCATGAGTTATTGATTGTTTAAATGACTACTTGTTGGATTGAAAAATGGAATTACAAATATCCCTATTTGGTAGAGTTTATAAATAATGATTTCTAATCTATCCTGTGACTGAGTCTTCAAGGTACATTGGGAGATATTTCTGTTGATTCTCTTACAATGCAAAAATCGAACACACAGTGAGTGAGTACACTAAAGACTCCTAATCTCTGACTTAAACCCTTTGGATATTAGCTAGAAAAGTCTACGAACAGAATGATTAGAAACACATTTTGTATTTTGTTAGATTTGGTAAAGGTCAGAGTATAATGATATATAACAGGATCCCTATTCTTCAAGAAGCTTACAGTATAGTGGATTAAAAGGATGCACAAATACATGATTGCAGTAAAGTGTTATTGTTGTGATAAAATTATATTTTCCTAAATAATATTATGTAAACTGATGGCTTTAATTACATAAAATATTGTAGCAATCACTAACAAAAATAACCAGTGGTTTCTGTTGAAAAACCACTATGTACTGGCAATGTACTAGGAATTCAAACGTAAATAAAACTTCATAATTATCCTGAAGGAGCACACAGTTTAATGAGATTAACATTGATCTTCACTAATGATTACATTTTAATTTTGTTGGTTTATAAAAGAGAAAATTAGAAGGTGGGGAGAACCATTAACTAAGCGTTGGGAGATGGGACATGAATATAGATCAGGTGACATGTGAACTACATAGTAGAAATAGATTAGTTGGAATTTATCTCATGAAGAAAGGTGGGGGAAGATACTATAAATAGAACAGCAAGAGCAAAAAACCACAACTGAACCCACTATTGGGTGGATTCAGACCCACAGTGACTATAAGCAGGGGTCCTCAAACTTTTTAAACAGGGCCAGTTCACTGTCCCTCAGACCCATTGGAGGGCCGGACTGCAGTTTAAAAAAAAAAAAAACTATGAACAAATTCCTATGCACACTGCACATAGCGTATTTTGAAATGAAAAACAAAACTGGGCAAAAAACACCTGGCAGGCCGAATAAATGTCCTCCGCGGGCCACATGTGGCCCTCAGGCCGTAGTTTGAGGACGCCTGCTAGTTTCCAAGACTGTAAATCTTTATATGGGAGCAGACAACCTCATCTTTCTCCCACAGTAAATGGTAGATTTGAACTGCCAGCCATGCAGGTAGCAGAAAGCATAGAGGTAAAAAAAAAATTGCTTGGTTTGTGGTATAGGGAAGGTATAGCCTTTATTGTTGTTGGAACATACCGTATTTACTCGTGTATAAGCTGAGTTTCTCAGCACATTTTTAATGCAGTTTTTGTGGTAAAATTAGGTGCCTTGACTGATATTTGGGATGGCTTATACTTGAGTCTATCTGGTAGATTGGAACCACTTGTTGTTACGTCATTTTAGAAGCTTAGACTTTTACCCTGGAGGCATTACAGAGTCATTGAAAAGTTTTAATCTGGTCAATAGCGTGATCAAATGACTGTATGGAGGCTGACTAACAAGAGAGAAGTGTGGAAAGAAAGGAATCTCGTCTTTCATTGGTAGTTCAGTTGAACTGTGTTTTGATAGCCAGTCTGCGGTTTGACAGTGAAGGCACAAGTGCTTCAATTTTTCAGGTATATGACAAACAAATTTAAGGGTTTTTGAATTAAAATAATTTTTATTTTATAGGCATATCCATCATTTCATTTCACTTCAGTGAACTTAAGCTCTACCTGGGGTGTTTTGAAAACTTTTTACTGCCCTAGAGCCCTAAGCGCTTAACCGTTTTTATGATGACTTTGTGTGCCTTAGTTTCGATGCATTGTGACCATAGAGGACATCTTTGTGGGAGCAGATCACCAGGTGTTTTTCCTTTGGAGGGACTGATGGGTTATAATTGCCAGCCTTTTAGTTAGCAGCTGAATAGTTAATAGTTACCACCATCCTTTGTATGCTTTCTCCCACACAGCAGCTGGGGGATTTGAACTCCTGACTTTGTGGTTAGCAGTCCAGTCAGGGCCTACCCTACACACAAGCATGACTCCTCCCTTTATATGATAACCCAACCCAAACCCACTGCCAGACTGATAGAATCAAACTGCCGATCTTGCCATTAACAGCCCAACAGATAATGCACTGTGCCACCTGGGCGCTTCCTTTATATGATACTATGCAGAGTATCTATAGCTGACATAATAAATGATAAAGAGAAAGTGTTTGGGTTTTACAAAGTATTTTTTGAAGAGTTAGTATGTTTTGGTTAAGGACATAAACATTTATTTTAAATGCAATGTAAATAGTAATTAATTTGTTTAATTTTTTGATGTGTGCTTTCAGTTATTTTTTAGCTATACCACATATAAATTTGTGCATATATATATGCATTCATATATATGTCCATACTTGAATCATTAAAAAATGGTTACTGTACTATGAAAATAATTGATAAAGAGAAATCTCAAGACTTAAATGTAAGGCTAAATAGATTTATTTGTATATGGTGTAGATTATTTTCATTATTATCATCAAATATTTTTTTCTACCTATATACATTTGCGATGATATGATTGTAACATGTCCCTCTGTTACTTAGGAGTTAACTAGAGAAGTTAAAAAAATTCTTAATAAATGAAACTAATAAATTCTTGCTTGAACTATGGTTTCTGAAGCTTGTTAACTTTTAAAGAAACTGGAGAAAATATTTTATATAAAATGGTTTTGTCTGTGGTCTCTTATAGGAGAATATGGTATTTCCAAAATTTTAAATTTTAATTATTAATGAACTTTTAAAATGTGACACACTTAACACCTACAAGGCAAACAAAAGTTATAGATTACATTGAGTTTTTTTATATTTCAGATTTCATTATATATTTTAATAAATTATGCACATTGATTTATCTAATATTTCATTTTTGTGTGGCCCTAACTATGAGGGCATTTCATTTTATTCTTTCGCATGTCAGGTCTTTTTTCATGTTATAGTATTTACATTAAAATAACTCTTAAACTGTACCTTACAAAATTCCCTAATTCTACAAATGTTTTCCTACCAACTCTACATTAGGAATAAATAACAATAGGAATAAGTGTGTGTATGTGTGCATAAACGTACCCATTGTTTGCATATAATAAACAAAAGCAGCAATAGAATCAATAAATTTTAAAAATAAAATTGATTTGCTATTGTATTTTCTAATTAAAAGAACACATATTTTGAGAATATTGATGAATTATAGTTTAGGGTGAACAGGAAATGAGCTTTTATACAGCATTGGTTTTGTTTCTTTTAGATCATGAAGTTAGAAATTGATGAAATTGCAGCACCTCGATCGTTTATTTTTCTGTGGTGTGGTTCTGGGGAGGGATTGGACCTGGGAAGAGTGGTAAGTTGATCCTTTTTTTACTAAGGTGGAATTTTTAATTTATAAGAAAAAATGTTGCATATATGGTTTTTAGATCTACCGTATATGCTTGTGTATAAGCTGAGTTTTTCAGAACATTTTTTTTATGGTTTCATTTTCTTTTCTTTTAAAAAAAATCATTTTATTAGCACATTTTTAATGCAGTTTTTGTGGTAAAATTAGGTGCCTCAGCTGATATTCGGGTTTGGCTTATACTTGATTATATATGGTATATCATTTTACCCTTTGCCTCTTTTTTTTTTTAAACATTTATAAATTTCTTTTTTTTTAAATCATTCTATTGGGGGCTCATACAACTCTTATCACAATCCATACATCCATCCACTGTGTCAAGCACATTTGTACATTCGTTGCCCTCATCATTCTCAAAACATTTGTTCTCCACTTAAGCCCCTGACATCAGCTCCTCATTTTTATCCCCTCGTTCCCTGCTCCCCCTCCCTTATGAACCCTTGATAATTTATAAATTATTATTTTGTCATTACCCTTTGCCTCTTAAATAGTAAAATAGAAGAGAAGTTCTGTCCAGAAGAGGCTAGGAGAAAGGTAGTACCACTAAGTCAGTGAACTAGCACTGGGGATAGACTCAGCTTTTTAAAAGGCATATTTATATAACTTCAGGAAGAGTACAGGTTAGAATGAGAAACTAAATTGCACTTCATTAATTAGTATCATTTTTTGCCCATTATGAATAGCTAAA